AGTATTTGATTTATTGTAATCGATGTTTGTAACATTTAGTTAATAAATTGTGTTAGAAAACATTTTTTTCTCTTAAAAACTTATTTTCGTATTAACAAAATTCAAGCGACAATGTCACAAAAATTTAATCGATTTAGTTAGATGATCAGATTTTTAAAAATTCGACTTATCACCAAAGCATGACCTGATCGAAAAGAATTGATGTTATTTTCGTATTTAGCTGTAAAAAAAATTCTCATTCAGATAACTTAATGGGTTTTTTTGTTGTTGTTTTTGTTGTTGTTTTTTGGGGGGTTGTTTTTTTGGGGGTTGGCCCAGTGAATAATAAATGATCACAAAATAACCTAAGTAATTATTAATAAGTTAATAATGAATTAAAAGTTAACAAACACCCCAATGCGATAGCTATAAAATAAATACATTCTGGCTTTTAATTATTTCTACTCAATAGTCTTTAGAATAATTTAAAATATAACCGTTCACTCCTTATTCAATAATCGTTTGGATAACATCATAAACCGGAAATATCTATCCTTGCTTCCGATAACACCCCAATTAACCAGAATATATAGACAGCCGATCTACTACCAAACACACATGGCCTGAAGATTGCGTTCAACTAGGAAATACGCTGACGCCACCTGAAGTTGATTTCAGTGTACACTCCTATATTTACACACGTTTTATCCATAATATATTGAGCACTTTTACCTATAAATATAACATACCATATAACTATATTTTTACCATATATGTAGAATACCATATAATTATATTTTTATCATATGTGTGTATATCTCCTCCTACTCCTCCTTCTTCTTCTTCTTTCGAGATCATTATGCTAACAATTTTGATCTCCACTTTGCTTCTCTCTAACAAGGTTTTTTTTTTAATTTTATAATTGATGCTCACCCTGTACACGGCCCAATCATAGTAGAGAGTTACAGAGTAAGGTACACAGTTTATGGGGATATGTGGGGAAGATTAACCTTAGACTTAAACAAGTTAAGCATCCTCTTGGTAGTTGTTTCCTGAGATGTTTTTGCCCGAGTGGAACTCACCAATAGAACATAAACAGAATGAGGGTGGTTTGCTACAATGGATGGTCTTAGCCTTGAAGGTTAGAACTAGTGGAATTAAGGAATGGTTCGTCTGAGCGTTTTCCATGGAAATAGCGATAGAGCACGAGAGGAAATATAGCTGTAGGGTGGAAAATAATTCATCATGGATCAGTAAACAGTTTTCACCTGATCTGGCTCTTGTAAAGGTAGAAGATAGCAGAAGTGTCAGGTACTTACTGCAACGATACGTGGAATCGACAATTTTTCCAGTATTTTTAGCAAAGGATCGTTAATACGAGTTCCACTTGAGGTCTTGTTTGAGCGAAGTATTATTAGCGAGGGATCGTATATACGAGTTCCACTTGAGGTCTTGTTTGAGCGAATTATCTTTAGCGAAGGATCGTATATACGAGTTACACGTGATGCATTTGTTTGAGCGAAGTATCTTTAGCGAAGGATCGTCTATACGAGTTCCACTTGAGGTCTTGTTTGAGCGACATATTAGCGAAGGATCGTCTATACGAGTTCCACTTGAGGTCTTGTTTGAGCGAAGTATCATTAGCGAAGCATCGTCTATACGAGTTCCACTTGAGGTCTTGTTTGAGCGAAGTATCATTAGCGAAGGATCGTCTATACGAGTTCCACTTGAGGTCTTGTTTGAGCGAAGTATCATTAGCGAAGGATCGTCTATACGAGTTCCACTTGAGGTCTTGTTTGAGCGAAGTATCATTAGCGAAGAATCGTCTATACGTGTTCCATTTGAGGTCTTGTTTGAGCGAAGTATCATTAGCGAAGGATCGTCTATACGAGTTCCACTTGAGGTCTTGTTTGAGCGAAGTATCGTTTGCGACTTGAAGTCTTGTCCGAATAGTCGTTCGAGGCAGGGGAACACCCATTCATCGCGATAGCTGAAAATTCAGTCTCCTCCCAGTCATGATGAAACGGCACCAGTTTGGCCTGATTTCAGACTCAGCATGTCAGTAAACGCGTTTTTGTTTGCCTTTCATCTTACATTTCTTTCATCTTCTCTCTTTCTGTTTATTTACCGTTGCATGCATTCATAGATTCACGGACGCTCATGCTTGTGTGTATGTAAACGGAAAAAACAAAGGAGAAACTGTGATTGGAACATCAGCACGTGTGATATCCTGTTTCATTCTATATCAAACGGACCTTCTGAGTGCACGGTAAATGTAACCGGTTTGCGTGGCCTGACATTACCCGTTGCACCCGTCACATCTGCCTTCCCCAGTCTCTAGTCAGGTTTTATCGAATCTCCATTATCAGTAATCGGATCCGCTTTCATGCTTTGAAAGCAACGGATTTCTTGCTCCTAATCTAATGCTAACGTCACTCACGACACAACACAACGGTGTCATATTGATATGTCCAAAGATATTTGTATGAAATAACAGTAATAGATTTAGTTTTAGTGATAGATGCGCGCGAAAGGACGACACATTTATTTCTTTTTGGCCCTTCATTTTATGCCTTTTTTGCGTTTTTTATTTCTTTTCCATTTCGCTTCGTTTTCTCTTTCTTATTCTTATTCTTTTCTTCTTCGTCTTTTTCTTCTTTTTCTTTTCTTCTTTCCATCTTCTTCTTTTTCTTCCTTTTTTTCTTATTTTTCTTCTTTTTTCTTCTTCTTTTTCTTCTTCTTTTTTCTTTTTCTTCTTTTTCATCTTTTTTCTTCTTTCTCTCATCTTCTTTTTCATCTTCTTTTTCTTCTGTTTCCTTTTTATTATTCATTTTCTTCTTTTTCTTTTCTCCTTTCCATCTTCTTCTTTATCTTTTTTCTTCTTTTTCTTCTTCTTTTTCTTCTTCTTTTTCTTCTTCTTTTCTTCTTCTTCTTTTCTTCTTTTTTCTTTTTCTTCTTATTCTTTTTTCTTCTTTTTCTTCTTTTTTTTCTTTTCTTCTTTCCCTCTTCTTTTTCATCTTTTTCTTCTGTTTCCCTTTATTCGTTTTCTTATTATTTTTCTTCTTTTTTTTTCTTTACTTCATTTTCGTCTACTTTTTCTTCTTTTTCTTCTTCTTTTTTTTTTCTTATTCTTCTTCTGGAACAAGGAATTTAACGTGATAAATTTTCCATTTCTTTTATACCGTATATTTTGGTCCCAGCAATAATCGTTCGATAAACGAATTCAATTCGTTTGCCGATCATGTTATAGCCGTAAGCTGCGAAAGTTTCATTCATAGATAAACCTCTTTTGGCATTATACAATTCAAAATGTATTTTCGTGTTTTATCCTACGCTTATCTGATAGCCTCTTTCTTCTCTTTTTTTCTATGGAAAGCGCACTTCCTATATTGACTGTCAGACTCCCTTTTGATTCCTCGCATTCTCATTCCCTCATCAACTTTTGTTATCACTTTTCTGTTGCTCTTTTTTTCTACCTTTGCAATTCTTCTTCTTCTTCTTCTTCTTCTTCTTCTTCTTCTTCTTCTTCTTCTTTTTCTTCGTATTTTTCTTCTTTTTAATTTTTTCGTTACTCCTATGTATGACGATAAACTCTATCAATCAGCAAGGCCTCTGATCCGTAGTTTTGAGGAACGTGGAACCATCTCTTAACTGTGGTTGTTCCCAGGTCCACACTGGCCCGAGTTGGTAGCACCTGCTAGGTTCCCGGCTATGGGCAAATAGGGACCCCCCAATCAAAACACCATAAAAGTGTAAAAATACCAGCAATGTATTATTACATAAAAAATTACCAACAATACCTATATATAGTAAAATGACCTAAAATGAATTTTCTGTAGTTGTAGCCATAAGATTATGTTCCAAATATTTAGATTTCGGCGTTAAATAACCAACAGAAGTCGATGTGTCGCTAAACAAGATCAACCAAAGCAACCAAAATGAAAATAATTGTTAGATTTTAATGAGACTTTCAGGACTTTCACAAATGAAAGAAATTATTTTTGAATTACTTTTCGTCGCCGAAATACGCGCAATGTTCTTTGTCATGTTCTCTCTTTTCTTTTCGTTCTTTATTTCTCTTCTTTTTCCGCCTAAACCTCCCACTACTTCTCTTTCACTCTTCTAACTCCTCCTCTTTCTTTCCTTCTTTTTCTCGTCCTCCCCGCTTCAATCAATTTTGGCGCATCTTTTCAATTGCTACCCGGATATTCCTTCATCTTCAGTTGCTAATTAAGTTAATGAAAGGAAGAGACATTAGTTTTCTATTTCGATGACCAGGTGTCGTCGAAACGCTTTCAACTACTACTTATCTGGTTACGAGAATCATGCTGCTACGTTGCTTTTATATGGAAAATACATATGTGCAAACGTGTGTGTGTGTGTGTGTGTGTGTGTGTGTGTGTGTGTGTGTGTGTGTGTGTGTGTGTGTGTGTGTGCGCGCGCGCCTCTGTGTTACACACACATTTGCACATATGTATGTATGTGTGCGTTAGTCTGTGATTTGAGTCAGTCGACCCAGTACTTTCTGAGCGACTGTTCGGTTAAACTCTCTTCCTGCGGACGGGAGGAACCCGAAGGAGGCTACGCCGAAGGGCGGAGTCTCCTTCGGGGAGGTAAAACCGGCCCTGAACCCGTTTATACGGGTTCAATGGGCTATTTTTTAGCCGAGCCTAATGGCTCGGAATGCACACGTTAAAAAGGCCTTGTGCCACATGACGCCCTCGTGGGGGAGTGACTGAATATCGTTAGTCTGTGATTATGCCAGTGAGTGCATTCAACTCCCTTTTTCTTATTCTATGTGCCGCGACCCTTCCTAAAGTAAACGATCATGGATCTCCATGACTTCCTACTTTCGAGACCCTTAGCAGAGTTTCTCCATTTGCTAAAACTTCCACCTCCTGTTCCGCGATCCATTCACACAAGCTCATCAGACAGGCAGACCATTACCTCCCCCTATCAGTTTTACCATCGATATGCCCTGTGAGAGTTATTTTTCCAAGCCCTCTTTCCTCATTATGCGTCCAAGAAATTTCAACTATGTTTTTTTTTCTCTAATCCTGCGTTTGCGTTCTTTTTGCTACCATTTTGTTTAAGACCTCCACCCCAAGCTGCTTACTTCAAATAAATGTTGGTCCAGTCTTCTAATAATATAATTAACGTTCACTATGTGCATTCGTATGGTATTTTGAGTCACAATTCCCAGTCATGCAGTTTACTCTTTAAGGTTAAGGTAACAAATGAAAAGGAAATGGACACATGACTCTACAAAAACAAACATTTTTTTTTTTCAGTTGGTAAATTAGTTAAAAATTAGATACATCCAATAATTCGCTGAAAAAACACATACCATGATGAAAAAAGGACCCAAACTATTAAGTTTTATCCTCAAAAGGTTCATGTTATTAAGAGGAAATGCTAAACTATTTTTTATTATTTTATTTATCCTTTCTAGCACGTTCAAATTTTTTGTTAAAATATTGGTCTATGTACTATTGGTGTTTTGACGCCTTTTTTCTGTAAAAAAAAAAAACACATTGATTTTGGAAATTCTTACAAAAATCAAATAATTGTTGGATTTTAATGAGACTTTCATGACTTAGTCACAAATGAAGGAAAATGTTTTTGAATTACTTTTTTTTTTTAGAAAATCTTGGAAAATATATTTACACACATTTTTCGAGAAATTAAATTTGAATTGCAAAATTTGTTTTATTAGTTAAAAGCAAGACTCCTTGGAGAATGTAAATCTCTTTTCTTTTTTTTTTTTTTTTTTTTTTTTTTCAAACTGTTACTCATTTGTCAAAAATCTGCTCCGAAACGTAAAATAAAAAATGCAATAAAACATGACATTATTTAATTAGAAAAGCTTTTAATTGCTTTTATAAATAAGATTTAAGCACAAAAGGGTGATGAAGTGGATCGATTACATTGAATCAATCGCTAGGTCTACTGCAATGAAAGTTGGTTCACTGAGTCGTGACAGACATTTTTGTTCTCGTTAGAATCCATTTTGTACATTTTTAAATAAATTCAGTCACTTTCCCATCGACGTAACGTCGCTTCCGCCTATCTTTTCTCTAAATATTTTCATGACAATTGTTCTGATGACCATTCCTCTTGGTTTCTTGACCACGTGAATTTAACCGTATTACTAAATTGGCAATTAGGTCTCACCGTTTTACTGCTGTACTAGCTAGATGTAATCGTAAATTCTATCAGAAATTGTCTGAAATTCATTTTGGAAGAAAAGTACAGGAAATATGGTCCGAGTTTTCGACTTTCTTTAGTTATTATCAGATAGAGTGTATTGTTGAGTTTAGTAAAATTTTGAAATGGTGTAACAACGCTGTTTTTTGTTTTTAATAAGCTTTTAGAAGCATGAGATGAAAGCGCGTGAAGCGTATTTTCGGATCTAAAGCCGTAGAACTAATGAGTGTTGTGACATAAGTGAGGTGCAACGTGTGTGTGTGTTTATACATGTAAGGATGCGGGCTCTTTAATTGTAATTGTTTTTATTTATTGATGGCTGTTTTTTTTTTTTTTTTTTTTTTTTTTTGTATGAGCATTGCTTCAATATCCCCGTGCCTGTTTAGTAAAGAAATATATCTGGGTGCTTCGTAAGTAAAGCTTAAACAAATAAGATTACAGTCTAAGGAAAGTAGTAGTAAAGGAAAGAATTTATTAAACGGTTCATTTTACCCGGAAATTAAATTTGTTTCAATAAAGATAAATATTTTAATTGTATAGAATATTAAAATAACTAAGGAAACTAGTCGCTCATAAATTTACTATCTTAAGTTGATTTAACTCCCCATTATACAGCGTGACACGAAAGATATAAATAAATTTTTAAAAATACACAAAGGTAATTATTATATAGTATACGAATATATATGTGGTTTTAATATATATATTTTATACAGTGTAACCCGGATATAAGAGAAACCCGGATATAAGAGAGATTTTCTCTGGTCCCAAATTAGAGCCTGTGTTAATGTATATAAAATAGAGCAAACCCGGATGTAAGAGAAACCCGGATATAAGAGACTTCTCCAGTCCCGACAACTCTCTTATATCCGTGTTACACTGTAGTAAAAAAGAAAGAACAGATATGTAATCCGGTGTTCCTGTTGATATTTTTATTTTTACAAAACAGTTTGGACTTTTTTAACATTCACAAATTTAATGTTGATATTAAAACTGTTGTAAAAGATTTAGATTAATTTCGTTTCTTTTTCTTTTGCTGCTTTACGCCAATTTAATTGATTCTAATTAATTAATTATTATAAATTATTGTTTTTTTATTTATTGATGATTGCTTTAGTCGTATAATCATTCTCGTGGCTTTTTGCCATTAAATACAGTAACTATTCGTAAAAAATACATATCGATTCACGCAGAGATTAATATGTAGAATAGGCTTAATTTTCCTGTTCTTTTTCGAAATTAACAAAGCAGTAGAACATTTCAAAGTTTCAATAAACCTTTTCACATAATTAAGGAAAATTGTTTACTTTCTTTGTTGCCTAGACACGTCATCCGAAAGGAAAAATAATATCAATTAATTTCACTTATTTTCTGTGTCCATCCTATTGCCAAATATTTCTACGGAAACCGTGAAAGCCACGCTTGAAGATGCCGGTTAGTTATCGACTATTCATTTCAATCACTTCAGGTTTAATTACTTCCCTTTACTAAAAACTCCACAACAAATTAGCGGTAACTAAAGGAAGAAAGCAATCGAGAATGTCTAACGTTTATGAATATTTCATCATTAATATGCGACAGGCAGATTCACCAATGCGAACCGGACAATTATCATGACAGCTGATGACAGTGACGTTAACAGAAATAATATAACGATGCGAAAAAGCAATAAAAAAAAATGGCAACATATTATGATTAAGTTAGGGGATTAAAGAAGGCAGTTAAAATAGATTTTTATAAGAATGATGAATTATGTTTTTGTCTTTTATGAATGGAAAGAAATGTCAAAAGACAGAACTATTTTTTAAAATTATTTTATAGCCATATTGTTTCTCTGTGACTTGCAGGATGTAAATTGCCTCGAGGAACCACAAATGTTTGATCATTAAATTTGGTGGTTTCTAATTTGCATTTGGCCAAAATTCTATTTTTTTTTTTTTTTGTTTTTTTTTTTTTTTTAGCATTTCACCCCAAGCAAGTCAGGAGTGACACTAGTGCGCAGGGGGTTATAGGGAGTGAAAGTTAAAGAAAAAAATGGGTATAGAGAGGATTGAGGAAAAGAAGAAAGATGAACGGGGGTTCAAGACAACAGAAGATGGTGACTGAAGTTGCATTTAAATTTTTGAAGATTGTAGTTATCAGGGAAGCAAGTAAGCGGAAGGGAGTTCCACTGTCTGGAAGTGCGAGAAAAGAAACTGTTGGAGTAGAAGTGGCGGTTACATTCAACTATTTCAACTGTAAAAGCGTGGGACCTAAATGCCAATCTAGTAGCGCCCTTGAATTCATTTAGGCGGCACACCAGAGAAGAAAGCTAGTCAGAGCAGATGAATCGAAAATATTTATAGAAAAGACA